TACCAGGTATGTAAATATGAAACCGGAATTTTTGTATAGAAAGTACACGTTTATTGTATGAAAATAATAAAAAATATTTTATTCGAAGTATTGCCTATCGCTAGCTATACATTTTTCCCACCTGTCTGACAATTTGTGTATGCCACGCCAAAAAAACTGTTGCTCTTTTGAGGCAAACCAGTCATCGAGCCATTTTCGTACATTTTCGTAAGAAGTGAAGCGCAACTTAGCAAGTGTGAAGTGAAGCGCTACTTAGCAGATGCAAATAAATAGTAATCGGACGGAGCCAAGTCTGGTGAGTAAGCCGCATACGAAAGTATTTCCCAACTAAACGCCTCAATCATTTCCTTGACCAATTTTGCTGTGTGTGATGGTGCATTATCATGAAGCAAAATCACTTTGTGTTGCCTTTTTTATATTCTGGTCGTTTTTCACGCAAAGCTTGATCCAAATCCATCATTTGTTGTCGATAGCGTTAAGTATTAACGGTTTGGCCAGGTTTTAGCAGCTCATAATAGATCACGCCCTTCTGATCCCACCAAACACAGAGCATTGTCTTCCGTCCATAGCGATTTGGCCTTGCAGTCGATGTCGATGGTTCGCCTGAAGTTACCCATGATCTTTTACGCTTAGGATTCTCAAAATATATCCACTTTTCATCGCCAGTCACAATTCGATGGAGAAATGACTTTCTTTTGTACCTGGCGAGCAGCATTTCGCAAGTGGTTTTTCGGTTTTCCTGCTGTCTTTCAATTTATGTGGAACCTATTTTCCCATCTTCTGGATCTTTTCCATGGCTTTCAAATGTATGGAGACGGCTTCTCGTGTCACATTTAATTGATCCACGAGTTATTGTTGCGTTTGAGTGTAATCCTCATCCAACAATGCTTGCAATTCGCTGTCTTCAAACTTTTTCGGTGGTCTTCCACGTTCTTCGTTTCTCACGTCAAAATCGCCACTTTTGAAATTTTTAAACCACTCAAAGCACTGTGATTTTCCAAGAGCATGCTCACCGTAAGCTTCGACAAACATTCGATGCGATTCTGCAACAGTTTTCTTCAAATGGTAACAGAAAATCAATGCTGTCCGCAAATCGTAGTGTCTAGGTACAAAAGTCGACATGTTTAACGCTATTATAAATTATGCTGTTGTATGAAACTTGTATTGTTGTGAGTTGAAAATCTTTGTCAGAGATGTCAACAAGGAAATGGCGCCAATGACGCGGTTTGACGGTAACTATTAGGTGCGCAACTAAGTTCTCGTTGTTTTTTTATGAAAATGCAACTTTATTGTGAAAAAATGGTTACAAATGAATCATTCAAAGTATTGCCCATCGCTAGCTACAACTTTTTCCCATTTT